GATACCTTGTACAGATAAGCAAACAGTGGAAGCCTAAATGAATGGAAGAGCAGAATGTGTACTTGGATGGATGGATGTGTGTGCATGTGCTTTTGATTTGTTCCCGCCTACCAGTAGTATGCCATTTCTAGAAGATTGGTCATGAGGATATGCAGTCTTGGACTAAAAAGGAAAAAAGCCAATCCGTGCCTTAGATTCACTGACCATACCAGCAGCACTACAAATCTATTAAAAGTTCCTAGGTACTAGAATTAAGTTTCTCTTTGTCAGAGATTTCTACAGATAGGGAGGGTGGAGTGGGTATTTTCCAAAACACCATTTACTTTTACACTGTGTTCTGAGATATCACCCTGGGATTTGGCAAGTCTATAACTACTAAAAGCTTCTTCTAAGAGCTATAATAATTCCACTCCAGGCTAGCATGAATATTATACTCTTTAAATGGTCTCCACTTAAAATTATTGTAACTTCACCACTAGCTTTCACAAATTCTAAACTAGGTGACTGGGTTCAGACAAAAAGATAACCCATGTTCAAGGGTTATGGCTTGAGAGTGTGTTATTGAAATTATATGAAACCTTCTGAGGAGGCATTTCATTGCAATGTGGTTTAGAGTTTGCGGGACATTCCCGCACTCATAGTTAGAATAGTTGATCAGCCCCCATTTTTGTTTCCACTATTGGCACCTGCCATGATTAGTTTGAATCCAATTGTCCATTGTCCAGTTCTGTAAGTGAAAGACCAGATCTGTTGAAAAGCAAATCTTCTATCCTGGAATGGACTTCTAAAGAGAGGCCATTGACTGGAGCCAAGCAACCCTGCAAAATACCACAGGTCCTACCACTGCCTTTGATCCACACTCTGTCTAGTAACAAGAGCTACTGATTTGCTGGAACAAGAATTTAATGGCTTTTACCTGAAAAACTTTGCTAACTCATGCTGATCTTCAGGGGGGTAATTATACGATGCTCCCATTTGTTCCCACAGAAACAACTGGTGAATGAACTTGAAGGCTGTACTCAGTATCGACACGGGTCTCAACAGTGGTCATAATCATAGCAGTCCGGATAACTGTATTTAGCATGCCACTCATCACAGTAATACGGATGGTATATCAGTATCGATGATCAGACCATTGTTCCCATTTGGAACAAGGTGAACAGGAAGAGTCTTGGTATTCACAACTGAAACTCAGAGATTCTTGGCCACATGGGTCAGTGTATCTGACACTCAGTATAACCATGAAGGCCTAAAAGGAAGACAGGGTGGTCAAACAGATCTGGCTAGTGCAGAAGTTGCAAGAGTTCTTAAATTTTCTTCTGTGAAATCAAAACAATTGGTAGCAAATTGTGTGTAAGTATCAAAGTCATGATCAGTACCAGAGATTGCATTTTCAGAGGAGACACGTAGATGGTGTTAGTATCAGGGAAGATGCTAGAGTTGGATCCTCCCCTACCACCACAGGTTAGATGTATCAGTTCTCATTTTCTTTGCTGCTGTGAGGACTAGCAATCTACCCAGTGTCAGGGATCACTGTGGCCTGAAGCTGTAATCTCCACAGAGGGAGAGGCAGAGAGATGAGCTTGTGTCATAGACTTTTTTTGGCACCTTCTAAGACTGATGGCCTTTTTTCTCAAAGTTTTGCTCAGAGCCAATCACCATGATTCCGTCTGGCCTGTTTGGTGAAGGCTGGCAGTGTGGGACTCTCCCAAACAAACAAAGGAATGCCTACTCATCAGTGGAAACATACTGTTGCGCTTACAAAAGATGGCCTTTAGGGCCACATGAGTCCTTCTCAACTGATGCCATTTTTCAATCATTAAAAAGAATAACAAAAGGAAAAAACTGAGGAGTAGAAACATATAGACTGAATTGCAAAACAAGAACATGTTGTTGAATAAAAAAGAAAAAACTTCAACAGAAAATAATTGTTGTCTCAAGTGAAAAGATGCTTCTCCTGAGGCTACCACAATAGCAAAAAGAAATTGTGGGAATTAGTGGGAACCCACTACAGTCATATGCATCAGACAGTGGTGAAAGGGTTCCCATCAAATAGTTCCCGTCTGCAGAAGCTTCCTGAATAAGGCTCTATGCAGGTGCAGAGCTGGTATGTGTGATGCACGGAGACCAGGAAGAAGAAATCAAAATGCCAAAGAGGCTAGCTTTATCTCCAAGATTTAGCTAGTTAGCTGTGCAAGCCCCCTTCAGGCAGTCAGGATTTGGCAAAAGCCAGTAAGCCAGACAACACAGAAGCTGTGTGGTTGTCATGATCCTATGCAACCTATTTCAGATTTGAAGCAGCAAATTTGTGTCACTGGAATATTTCTGGACTTAGCCTTCCTCTTGGATGTTCATGTGACCATCTCTTATCTGCATCTTTTCTGCCAGAAATAGTCTTTCATAAAGAAATTAGCCTCAGTCATTCATATCCTCATCACCTTCCAATTAATTACTATTGATTTTTATCCTGTCTTTTCCTTAAAATGAATTCAAAGCAGGTTACATAATCCTTCTCCTGCTCTCAATCTTATTCCTACCACAACAACCCTGTGAGGTAGGTTGGGTTGAAAGTCTGTGACTGGCCCAAAGTCATCCAGTTGGTTCCATGGTCAAGCAGGGACTAGAACCTGGACAGCCTCAGTCCGATGCTCTTAAACACTACACCACACTTGTTCTCAGCACTTTCTTACTACAGTATACATAAGACAATTCGGAAGCTTTAGGTGGTTTAGAAAGCAGTTGTCAGATGGCCAGAGCTGGAAGACTGGATCATATTACATCAATCCTTGGCATGTTACAGTGTTTACTATTTGTATCCATGCTTAGTTCAAGCTGTTGGTTTTGACCTTTAAAGCCCTAAACAGCCTGGAACCAGATTCTCTTAAGAATTGCTTCTCCAAGAACTTTGTTCTATTTCTGGGGCTCTTCTCCAAGTCCTATTAAGTGTGCACTGGGGATGGATACTAGAAAATAGCCTCTGCAAAGAGATCATTCTGGCCCCTAATGGTGTACCACCTGCATTTTAAAGCCTTGCAGTGCTTTCTGGTTTAGAAGGGCTTATATATATATATATGTATATGTATATGTATATGTATATGTATATGTATATATGTGTGTGTGTGTGTGTATTATTGATATTTTATTTGTAAGTCGTGCTTAACTTTTGGAAAGGTCCTATAGAAATATTAGAAATCTTATACACGAATCATTTGCATGATGCATTCTACCCAATTAAGTGCTGTCTTCCATTCAACTTCCATCAGACATCTAAGAACAAAGAAGCCCAGATTTGTTCCTGCCAGTACAACAGTACTTGCACATATTCACGCTGCAGGAGCCTCTTACTCATGCATACCTTCAGTTATACTGAACATCACAACAAGGAAGAGATCTTCAGAGATCTTTTCCCAAAGTTCACTCAGACTTACATACCACAATATTGCATAAGTCACATAGGACCAGCTGAAAGAGATCAAATGATTATCTAATAAAGAACCTATGTAAAACCAGAAAATTGCCAAGCAACTGGCATTTGGGAGGAATTTGGATGTGGTCCTCTAGGGATCAGTGGAGTGCCAGACAGGCAAGACAGATTTGACTTGCAGGTTTTATGGTTGACAGCCCTGATGTATGACAGATCACCTAGTGTGACATTCCCACATATACAACCAATCAATTAAAGCTAACATACCACAAACAGAAGTTACACCACAAAAATTTGTCCACAAAGCAAAATTACACATGCTGGGGAAAGATGGATCAATACCAAATTTGCGGTCAAGGAAGAACTAGCATTTTGCCAGCTGCTTAACAAAAAGACATCTCTAAGTCATGTTAAATGGGCTTTCATATAATGCAAACAGACCTACAGATTATGACCCACCAATAAATATAGCCAGTGAGTCATATATGGTAGCCTGCCCAACACTTACTAATCCCACTGTGTTTGCAGTCCCAAACAACCAGCAAAAGCAGATTTACATACATGGCTGGTAAACTATATTCCAGTTTGAAAGATCACATGCCTGTATGCCTAGTTACAAGCTATTTGGCAGTCCAATACATTAAGGCCATGGTATTCATACTGTGTACCCTGGAACCCCAGGGTTCCATGAAAATCATCCAGGGGTTTAATCCTACAATTGCAGTGAAACTGTAAGGACTTCATTCCTCCGCTTCATTTCAAAGAGAGAAATCTGAAACAAGGTAAGGTCTTTTTTCATTTTAATTCTGAGCCTTTACGCACATACCTTTAAAGCAGATTAATTTATTTTAAAGTCAAAGTGTTTTCATTCGAGTGAATTCAGATTGCAAGGAATAACCATCAAAGAGGCTTAATACAGGAATAAAATGGATGCAGAACCAGAAATGTGCTTGCAACTGTCAGCAATCATACCAAATTTTGACTTTGTGGCAAAAAACATGCACATCCAAGTCATTAAAATGAAGTTTATTTTTTTCATATTATTTATTAGTCATGTGCTATTAAAAATTTGTATGTACTCAGTAAATTTAGTATTATTTAGTTAGTAAGTAATAAATTAGTTCTTAAAGAGGTTTGGTTTAACACTGTATGAAATGTATTACTGCAACATAAATTGTAACATTTTGTTCAAATAAAATCTATTATATGAGATTTATTAATAGTTTCACACTGATTCTTCATTCTGATAATGGTTTGAAGATCACTATGTTAGCATAATAGCACTGGCAGCAACAGTGCTGCCTCCTTACCCAAGTACCACTTCTTCTTGAACACAGATAACCTATATTCCAGTATTATTACTTTTTCTGACATCTAAGCTGATCACATTCTTACTGTTATAAAAATGTCATTTGTTTATCATGTAACAAATTTTAGACATCATTCAAAAATAGCAGAGACAGGCTATCTTATGTCAAAGCATCCAGGAAATGTTTACTGCAAAATAAATTGATAATTTAATCAATATAACATCTTTGAACAAACATTCAGAAGCTACATCCAGATTTCCTCTTACCTTCATCTCCCTCTGGTGCATAGGAAGCTGTAATAATATCAATGTCAGCACAATTCATCACAATCTGATTGGTTGCTTGCTTCACCTGCAAGAGACACATTCACCTTAATTACATTTAACATTGAGTGTGATACAAACACTCCAAGAAAATATTCAACAGAACACAACTGAACTTCCAAGGTAACAAATAATCCTATTCAACATTTTCACAGAAGTAATAAACATAGCAAAAATAGCATACCTTTATAAATGAGTATTGCAAATCCCAAAGTTAGCAGCTTGCCCAAAATAAGCAGCCAATCCCTCTTGTTAAGTTTATCAGATCAACTGTGCATACTATGAAGCCTCTTCTCTGTCCATTACCCCTCTACTTGGTTGGCCCATCTCTCCTGATGTCATATCATGTGGTCAAGAGTTGTTAACAGGCTCAGGTGGCTACAGGAGCTCTTCTCCCATGCCCCTCCCTGCAGCTGTAAATCTCGACTAGTCTCAACATTTGCCTGAACCTCTGAAGAGGGGTGTCCTTGAGATAAGCCCCTCTGCTTCTTCTACTTCAGTGTCTGAGAATTCTGGTTCCCAAGGCCTCCCCTCATCTGATGAGTATGAATCTGCTTGACCTTGGAATGTGCATCAATAGAAAACTCCTGAACTGTATTTATACGGGTGCCTAGAAAATTAAAACTAATGCCCAGAAAACTGAAAAAAACTGAAAACATTTTCAGCTCTCCACATCCTGGAACCCAATATACAAAATTGCTAATTTCTAGGAATTTGAATCTGTCTCTGTCTGTCTCTTTTACCAAGTCCACTTGCTCAGGTGAGAAAGAATTTGGGATTGCCTCCTTCAAAAATTTAATTCCAGTGCCTAGATACTTGGAATACTATTCCAGTTATTCATGCACCACAGTTAGCAAGCCACAATTTACAAACTGAAATTAATTTGTTACACTGAAAAAAATATATATTCAAACTACCATTCCCCACTACTCACCCCACACACTATAAACAAACAATACAGATCTCCCCCTCCTGTAGTCCTCACACAGTGGAAGGCAGGGGTATCTGTTAGGTTCACTGTGAAGTCAGATAGCAAGTTCCTTATTGGCTGTTGGCAAATTTGCATAGGTGAAGTTATTTTGCCTACAGGGGAAGTAGGCTGACCCAAGTCAGGCAATCAATTGCAGCCTCATCCAGGGTTGGGCACACTTGTTTTCCAGTGTACCCAGAGAAACATGTCTCATAGTTTCCTGGCGGTAACAGTGTTTCTTGCCCAGCCCATCAAGACAACATGCATGATGCTCTCACCATCAAATGGAAATGTCAGCACTGCAAATGGTACGCTGACCACCTTCACAAGCAGGACCTTCTGGCTATCTCCAGTACCATTATCTTCAACCAGTGCAGCTGTCTAATTCTCCCTTTTGCATTTGCCTGCTGTATCAGCTGGAAAGAGGAAGGGCACCACCAATTCACGTGGTAGTCTACAGCAAGCATATAAATAAGTGTATTACCCATTACACCCACCAGGTAACATTGATGTGACTAGCTGACATGTATGGCACCAACCAGTACCTACACATGCAGGGAGCCCAGAGCATGAGGTGACAAGTGTGGAGTGTGCCAGGTCAATCCAGATGAGTTTATCTACATTTATTTAGTCACTAAATATGGCCCCAGCTGAATGAACAACCATGCCAAGGGGGCAGGCTGGTCTTGGACTAACATTAAGCTGCTATGCCTTGGCTAGCTGTAACACAAAAGTCCACAAGGAGATTCATGAGAAAGGTGTGTGTGGCAAAGGTGGGTAAGTGGCAAACATCTCCTTGAGCAATGCTCCCACCAGCAGTCAGCAGAGCAACAGGCCCTTGGGAGACCTACAAGATGAACAAGGCAAAAACAGTGTTTCAAGAACCTGTGCAAGTTTCTCACGGAGAAATGCTGCTTCAGCAAGAGTGATTTGTTGCACTGCTTTCTGCACACATACTTCAAGTGCCAGAGCTCATACGCACACTCAGGCCAACTGAAGTGCACCTTCAAAATCAGCATGCAGATCCTGCAGATGAGGTTCACCCTGCTGGTCTTGTTTGTTTGCTGAGTGAGGCTGTTACAAGACAGTGGTAGGAACAGACCAAAATGATGTTGCACTTCCAGAGCTACAACACATGTCTTGTGGCATGCTACCTGGTTCTATGGGCAGGTTCTAACAGTGACAAGCACAACACAGTCTGTTTCTATCGACCTCTCACCACAGGGAAAACCTATTTCTGCTCCACCCTGGCCCATGCCAGTTGTAATTACAGTGGTAGGAACTGGACCAATACAAATGTTACTTTCAATGACTATACAAATAAGCATTCTCATATAATGCCAGTCCTCTATCAGCTTCACTGGCTCCCAACTGAAGTCCGAGCCCAATTCAAGGTGCTTGTGCTAACCTATAAAGCCCTAAACGGCTTGGGACAGGGACACCTGAAGGAGCATCTCTTTCCTGAAGGTGCTCCAGGAACCCTCTTTGAAGGAGGTACAGAGGGTAACTACTCAGAGGAGGGCCTTCTCTGTGGTGGCACCCAAACTATGGAATATGCTCCCCAGAGAGGTCCTCCTGGCACCACCTCTATTTCCGACGCCAGGTAAAGACCTTTTAATTTACCCATCATTTTAATAATTAAATTAATACTTTTAATACGAAATATCAATCAGTCGCATCTTCTTTCTCTTTTTTCTTTTCTTCTATTAATTTTGAATAATTGGTTTGATTGAATGTTTAATGTTTATTGTTGAATTTAAATTGTATTTTATATGGTTATTTTGTTGTGAGCCATCCTGAGGCTATGCAAAGGATGGCATAGAAAGATTTTAAATAAATAAATAAATAAAATGTGATGTGGTGGAAGGTAAGTCATCTGAATAGGCCCAAAATATGAGGGATACCACAAACAATTCCTGTCAGACAAGCAAAGAGAGGCTTCCCCAACCTGGTGACCTCCAACTCTTTTAGACAAGAATCTCCAGTAAGCTCAACCAGCATGGCCAATGTTTTGGAATGCTTGTAGCTGTAGCTTAAAACACCCAAAACAGACTTCTGGAGAAGACTAAACTAGATTTTCACGCCTATCCAACAATCACTGCTGCAATGCCCAATGTGCACTGGGCTCTATCAGTACAGCTGTTCCTCTTAATTACTAGAGCAAGGTGATGCACAGACAGAAAAAAAACTATTAATCCAAATACCACCCACAGGAAATAGTGTTATATTTACTTATAAAAGATATACCTTAAAATTCACAAGTAATGATATGGGGCAGAAGCTTTTCCAATCATTTATTTTCACACAAAAAGCTTCTGATTTCTTAAGTTCATTAGTAACATAGGGAAGCTAATTACAATATAATATTAGGAAAGGCTGGCAGCATTATAGTTGTAATTCATGTTTTACCAGTGATTATTCCTAGGAAGTATGAGACAGAATACATGTCCTTAAAATAGATATATGTCACAGAGTGAAATAATAGTAAGCGGTGATAGCAAAATAGCAGGTGCATGGCTAGCAATGCTGGGAGTTTTAGGATTTTATGTCTACACATGTAAAAGACTGCACCCTTTAAAAATTTCCCTCAAATATATTAGGTTAAATGCTTGCAGTGTATTGGGGCAAAACATTAACATGGAATATGTTTTTACCGTTGTTTACTAAATACAATCAAACACGATTGCTCTGTAGAGCAAACTGATGAATTTTTAATACAAAGTATGCATACAAACTAACTGGATTTGCACTAGAATTTATTTATTAGTTTAATTTATATATGGTCTTTCCTCCAAGGAGCCCAAGGCAATGTAGATACTCCTCCTCTCCATTTCTTCCTTACAATAATTCTGTGAAGTAAGCTAGATGAGCATTGTTACTTGTCTAAAGACACCAGTGAGAATCATAGCACAATGGGTACTTGTACTCAGATCTTCTGGGTCCCAGTCCAATACTATAACCACTAAACCATGCTGGCTCTCAATTCAAAATGTTGTGGAAAACTGGTATCACAATCTCCAAGTACCCTTGCCACACAAAATGTAAATATTATTTCTACCTGTAAAGGTAAGTCATGGAAGGGCTTTTTTCCTAAGGGTAATGTCACTACTACTTAAGAGTAAAAAACAGTAAAAGGAAGAAAACATTCAGAGTAATCAAGTTGGTTAACAGGTAATTAAATATTTAGCCCCAAAGACCCACAAAAAATTAATAGATTATAAACACACTGCAGATTATACAAGTGTGTGCTTATGACGACACACTTATTCTAAAAGAATCAATTGATTTCAGTGAAACTCCGCTCACATGACATGCTTAGGATTATTGCCATTTCTGAGAATATGTAAAGCAAGCACTTAAATGCAGCTTAATGTGATGCTATCTACTGCAAGCCAACTGGAAATGCAGACGGTTAATAATTTGTAGGGAAGTATTTTAAGAGTTATGCAGTAGTGATTAATATTTGAAAGCCTCTCAACATAACTGAAAAATTGTTTTCTGGAAAGCAGCTCCTAAGTGCATGAATACACACATGGAATTACAGAAAAGCGAAAGATGTGATTGCAACAGAAAGTGTGTCTTCGTTATTAAAAACATTCATTTTTAGCTTGCCTAAAACAGTAAGAACTGAAAACAGTTGCGCCATCCTTGATTATGACTACTGATGCAGTATTTTGATAGCTTATACAGCATATCAGCATTTTTAAAGAGGTAATTTCTAGCTTGTTTTACAAGAGCTGAACAGGGATGTCAAGGACAGGACACTCTGCAGGGAATTCATTCACTTTGCAGGGTCACCATAAGTCTCAGACAATTTGATGGCATGTAACAACAATTCCTAGCTTCCACTTTTTCTAAGAGAAAATAGATAAAGCAAAGCTCTCCTATTAACAGTTTGCACACAATACAGAATACCATGCATAGTTGCAAATGCTTTTCACAAAGTTACTACAGACGCTCATTATGCTTCAAGCAGCACTGACTAGATGTGGTCAAATGGAGCAAAGTCTATGTTTTACTTCTTAAAAGGAATATTAGTATCATACAGATTTGTGTGG